CGGGAGCTGCTTAGACTTCATTCATCTTTACAGCTCTCCTGCCCAAGCAGCAGAAGCTATATTCCTTCGTCGATGTATTTCCTACATTCTTCGAGCAACCGTTGGCACAATGCTTAGCGAACAGGCTCAAATCACAGCGTGCAAGTACCTTGGACAACTTTTAGCCGACTACATCAACTCTTTCGGTGATCATGAACTTTTTTAGGCTTTTTTTGTATTTTTCTTTTGACGGTATGCGGCTTGTAGGGGGCATCTTGCGCTCTAGCTAGTTGCTTTTGTTGGTTTACGTTGAATAACAGGTCTCGCTTTGGTGCGACCTGTAAACTCCTGTGAAGCTGAGATTTGGTATGAATCACTTTGGTGACAGGAATTTGCAGGTCTCTTCAGGCCTGTAAGACTAAGTTGAGTGCCATCCTGTGCTCCCACCAAGCCGAACTGCGCCTCTTTTTCTACATGAGTTTTTCGGAGCTTTTCCGCTTCTTATGCTGGGTTGTCCAATGTTTAAGACTATTCGATTGAACCAACAGTGGAACGAATACTGGGCGCGGAAGCGTATGCGAGTGCCCAAGCGGCGGTCGTGGCCACACTTGAATTGTCGAATCTCGTACGGCAAATTGGAACTGCTGTAACACCATTGTTTGTTGAGGCGTCAGGTTGGTTACTGTTGTAGGATTATTAATTATTGTATTGATTTTAATATTTTAATGTTGTATTTCGTTTTTGAGCATTTAGTGTTGTATATTTCTTTATGGGTTCCTTAAGATTCCGGCGGCCTTCCTTGGGGAAGTTTAGAATTTCTCGATTGCAGTGGCCTGAGCTATATTCCAAAAAAGAAGCGAATAAACAAAATGCCCGCCCTTCCCCCCCCCCCCCCTCTTGCAACACTCACCCCTGTTCATACGCGTTTTCGCGCCTACAGCGGCATAGGCAGGCTTTTTTAGAGAACACCGTTTCGGAAAATTTTGTCAGCAGGAGGATACGGCCGGTTTAGACGGTTGTTGTTCTAAACGTTCTACGTCCCTTTATGGCAGAACAGCTCACCGCGCGTGTTGCTGGAAGCAACTGTGCACTGGGTTCATGTATTCTCTGCCCCTTCCCCATTCTCCTGTTCTCTTTGGCACTCGTCCAAGGGCTCGGTGTTTCTTCACCTCACGTATTCCTCATAACGAACTGCAGAAAGGAGGGTCTTGCTCAAAACGTTTTCAACGTTTTTTTGTTTCGTTACTTCCTGCCTACGTCTTGATGTTTTCTACCACTGCCACTCTCCCCCCCCCCCCATAATTCTACCGAGTCGTGAGTGGGCCCTTGAAGCTTAACCTGTTTCAGGCATCATGGAGCACGTATTTGCATGCCTTCTTCATCCGATTCTATCGGCTCGCACTGCAACTGCATGGTGCTTGCGATGTGTCACGATGGCAGTGCCAAGCCAGCTCACTCCGTTGATTGACAGATGTATCAGCAGGTAGGAATCATCAAGGGACAAACGCAATTTTTCTCTTCCAATCTTCTACCTGCAGGTTAGAGCATATGAAATCATGCAGTGACGCCATCAGTGGTTACTCACTGGCTCTGGCAGCTCTCATCGCAGCGGCCTCCGACTGTAAACTCGGAATCCCCCATGCAAAGCCCAAACAGGTATGTATGAAGCCGTTTTGCCTCTCATTTGCCCCACAGAAGGTTGGAAAAGTGAATTTCTAGGTGTTGACATGTGCGGAAGACATGCTTAAGACTGCCACTCAGCAAAGCCGACTTGCTGTTGCTAAGATTAGCGCTGGTTATATTTTGCTGAATGCTGTTGTTTCAATGGGTATGCCAGGATATTTCTTTAATATTCATCAATATGCGGTTCACCTGTTTGAAGTGTGTGCCTATTATAGGATCCCCGGTCGTGAAGGAAAACATGCCTCGTATTATCCAGCTTTGGCGAACAGCTTTTCCGCGAAGCACAAAAGAAGCTGAAGCTGAGAAAGGAAGAGGTGCGTTAGAAGCTCAAAGCTGAAAGAGTGGTTACTTCAGCACACCATTCGTTCTGTGATCAAAACACTACTACAATGCTGTTAAAATAGTTGGCTAGGGGTGTGCAACAAGGGCTCCCTGTATAATCGGCATTGCCTTCACCGAAACTATTATTTTTTGCCGCTTACAATTAGTGAACTGATCATTTCTCAAGTTAAGGGCCCCCAGTCTTCTTCTCTAATTAGAGACACATTCGACAGTTTTGAACAGATAAAACCCTGGGGGGGGAGGGTTGACCTGCAGCCGCGAACCCTCTGCCGTTATCCGGTTCAGAGTTGCGAAACAAGGGTGCTGAGAGCCGCTATCGCTCCACTGGCCTCGCCCACTGCAAGTGGAACCGCCCACTGCTCAAACCACTTAGAGTTGGGCTCCTACATAGCAGAAGCGGCTTGGCTGCTGTAAGATAAATGGGACGCTACGTAGATTAGTGTTGGTTTCCATACTCGAGGATCAGTTCAGTGATAGTTTGAGCGAAGACAGAGGACAACTGCCTCTTTGCCCCATTTCTTCTTCGTCTGACCACCTTTAGATTTTAAGGAGTGGAGCAAAAAAGCAGAAGGGAACGCGGTGACTCGTGCTTTCACCAATACACTGATTGTGCCTTCTACCATGCTGACTCAGACCTACATTTTTTAGCCATTTTTTTTCCTCAGAATTTCTG